AAAGCAGACTGTATTGAGCATTTACTATGTCCCAGGCCCTTGTGCTGGCTTGTCTTAAGCATCGTCTCCTGGGCCCTCCCAACAGCTTTTGAAGTAGGTATTCTTAATCCCAGGCAGTGACCATTCCTGATGCCAAGGCAGAGGCCTACCGTGGTGATGTATAAATCCATACGCATGTGTCCTTTCTCCACGCGCCCTTGTAGGAACGCGGCTTTGTGAGGATCTTCTGCCCCACTAATCTTCATTTAATCCCCCTCCCCTGCAGCACGTTGTCACCTAGCACACCCCTGCTGACAGGCTCTCTGTAAGTCTTCATCTGAGTGACGGCCCTGGAAAATCAAGCTGTGGTCTCGAAAGGGAAGGAGGATCTGCAGATTATCTCCTCAGCATGTGCAGTCACTCTGCTGGCAGTTCTCAGGGCCGCTTTTATGTTGCCTCAACAAAGAGAACGGCTGCCAAGAGTGTGTAATGTTCTGTTCAGAATTCTCCAGGCTGGCAGAGGCTGCGACAGTAGAGACACAGGGCAAGATGATAAAGTTCCCATTTCAGCCAGGCCCATCGCCTCTTACCCTCACCCATGTCCAGAAGTCTGTTTTTGAGACTCTTCCGATGATTCTCTATAGAGCCTTGGAAGTGGCAGACGAGGAAGAAGGGGAGGAGGAAGGGGAGTGCGCAGGCGAGCTGGCTGGGGGTCAGATCATTTTGCCATCACCAGCAGGCAGTTTCTTTCACAACTCATTGAACCCTGGGTAGCCATTATCATCCCAACTGCTCCCTATTAACTAGGCCAGACTCTTGAGGCCATGCGAGGAAACAGAGAATTCCTTTCCTTTCTGTCTCTGTCTAAATACCGCTGGTACTGCGTTCAGACAGCACGCTGCAGCTCACAAAGCTTATTGATACACACTCTTATGATTCTCATACCATTTCTCTGAGATGGTGTAACCTGACCTAAATAAGAAAACAAAAATACCAAAAAGTTTTTAGTTAGGAAAGAAAGGGAAAGGAAGGAAGGAAGGAAGGAAGGAAGGAAGGAAGAGGAAGGAAGGTTGGTTCAGAGACATCAGTTGACTATTTCAAAGGTACCCAGCCAAATAAGATGGGAGCCATTCCCATTGTGCTTTAAAACACAACCGCTGACTTCAAGTTCTATGCCTTTTCCATGGTCATGTGCCTTCCAGACACTTAGCCAATTTCCTGGAGGATGGTGTATGGGGGGACTAGCAAGGGAGACCTGTGTCCTTGGTGGCAGGGAGCATGCAAAACACTCAAGCTTCCTCCACTGCCTCCATTGCCTTCTCTGAAGGGCTCACATGGCTTAACATCTTAACATCATCTTGGAAACCAACTAATGATCATATTGACTTTAAAAACCATTGCAAAGAAATCTAAAAGCTGTGGGGGAGGGGAGGGATCAATGCAAAGGCTTTGCTGTGGGAGCAAGTGCTCAGAGGGAAATGTGGGCACCTCTGCTGCCCTCCCCAGCTCTGACTCTGTTCCCACCCACGGACTCTTGTCTGGGAAGATATTTTCACTCTCATTTCAGAAACACAGAAGCTGAGGACAGAGGGAGCAAATGATTCATATCCTTGAAGAATTCCCGGCAATTTGAAATCTAAAAAATTTTCTTTTTACGTAAAGGCAGTTTAGGGATACAGGCCAAATTCAGGTCTTTAGAACTGAAATGTTTGTCACTAAGAATTTTTCACCACTAATGGGGTTCTAGGTGATGCTAAGGTATTGCCTCTTGGTTAGCTTAGAGTTTCTAACCTTGAGACAGGTTCTGAAAAACCTGATCCTTCCAGCAAGGATACCGGTGACATCTCCAACGCAGGGAATGACCTGACCCAATCCCCAGGAGTATTACTTTGCTCGATGGATCAGAGCTTTAAAAATACTTTCAGTAATTTTTAAGCCAAGTGTTATGCATTCATCATAGAAAAAAAAAAAAAAACCACTTAAAATACAGGTAAGCAAAATGAAAAAATGCCTACAAGTTCACCACCCAGATTATTACTGTTAACATTTAAATAAATTCTATGCTGTATGTGTACATACAAATGTAAGCATGCATGTACACATTAATGTTTTTATTAAAATGTACTGTTTTGTGGCCATATATTCCATTAACATTGTAATTTTTCCATGTCGTTATATAATCTTCTACTTCACCATTTTCTTTTAAATTTTATTTTAGAGAGAGTGAATGGGGGAGAGGGGCAAAGAGAGAGAGAATGAGAATCTTAAGCAGGCTTCACGCTCAGGGAAGAGCCCACCGTGGGGCTTGATCCCACAACCCTGGGATCATGACCTGAGCCAAAATCAAGAGTCAGACAGACAAGGAGAGCCACCCAGGTGCCCCACCATTTTTTTTTTAATTAAGTTTCATTTGTTCTAGGGCAAACTCAAAAGGGTTTTTTCCTACTTCACCATTAAAAAAATTGTTTTAATGTTTATTTTTGAGAGAGAGAGAGAGAGAGAGAGAGATAGAGAGAGAGAACGAATGGGGGAGGGGCAGAGAGAGAGGGAAACACAGAATCCAACGCAGGGTCCAGGCTCTGAGCTGTCAGTATGGAGCCCAACGCAGGGCTCGAACCCACAAACTTCAAGATCATGACCTGAGCTGAAGTCGGACATTTAACTGATAAGCCACCCAGGCACCCCAGACCCCTCCTTCACCATCTTTAATGGCACTATGTTATTCCATTATATAGAAGACCATGATTTACCGAGTTTTTTTTTCCTAATAAAATTTATTGTCGAGTTAGCTAACATACATTATATACAATGTGCTCTTGGTTTGGGGGATAGATTGGGTTATTTTTAAATTGGGAAATATTTTACACTCATAAGAAAATACACAGACTAATTAACCATAGTTTGTTTAATCTCTACCACCTTGAGGATTTCCTTTCCAGGAAGCCTATTTTCAGCCTAATTTCAGTTACTAATATTTGAATTTCAGTCTGCAGTTTACAGTGCCCTTGCACATACATTATTTCATCTGATCCTTACCACTGGCCTCTAAGATTGGCATCGAGATTATTTTCCTCACTTTATAGATGAACTATGAAAAGCTCAGAGAGGCTAAATGATTTATCCAGTATCCTGAGTCTAGTTAACATCAAAGAGCTGGCTGGGCAACTCCTATGGAGGGGCAGACCTCTACCCCAGGCAGGAGAGGACGTTGGCCAGAAGGGCAGCCCTCATGCGCTCCTCTCTCCCCACCTCGCCTCAGCGTTTCTGATGTGTGCTGACATTATTTGTTTCCTGACTGTCCCCCTTATACACCCTGTGTGCTCTCTGAGGGCAGCCTTGTGTCTGGTTTCACTGTCTGCCCCCTCTGCCTCCCACAAGGCTTAGCACGCGGTAAATCCCGGCCCAGCGCATGAGCGAGTGAATGAAATGTGTCACAGAGATAAGCAAATTGTGGGGGCTGCATTTTGACACCTTTCTTTCTCGGCGTGTCTATTTTCAGTTCAGACGTTTAACAAGAACCCAGCTTGGTGTTTTTGTGTTTTTGTACTTCTGCAGGTTTAGGTCGTCACTGAAAAAGTCACACACTAAGTCGTGGAAGAGTGTGTTCAAAGCCAAGGGCAAGGAGAAACCTGTTTGTGTACTAGATTCTCTCCATCTTTTCCAGTGTCCCCCCCGCCCCGCCCCACCTCACCCCAGGCCCCACTGGGATGAACCAGGCTCTGCTTAAAGGTGCCTGCCAAGTTACTTTGATGATATCCCTCCTTTGGAACTACTTTATATTTTTTATATTGATGATCTATCCCATTTTGAACTGCTTGTAGAAACAATAGCTTAGCAGCTATAGCATAGTTTATGAGGGTGGTTTAAAGTGCTGTTATTATCGACTGTAAAAGCTATAGACAGAATTACAAGAAATTTTGGAACAAAAAAATCATTCAAATGCCATCACCTCACAAGGCGACAGTTTCCATTTTTGCATAATCCCCTCAAGGTCCTGTCCATGTGCGCACATTTATTTTCCTAGATGTTGTCACAGGGAGCGTGCGGCATTGTTTTCTGCTTTTTCCACTTATTAGCGGAAGAACCTTTTCCCCCCATTTTTCTACATAGACTTCATAATTATCTTTTAATGACTGCATAATCCTCTGTCGAGTTGATATACCAAAATGTACTTCCACAGCCCCCCAGTGTTGGCTGTTTCAGATGTTTCTGATTTCCCACTAATCTATAAATGCTGTAGTGAAGATTGTTATGTGAGTAGCTTTTGCATTTGTCAAGTGATTTCCTGTGAATATATTCCCCGGAGTAGGATTGCGGGGTCTGAGCAGGACCATGTTTGTGGCTCTTGTCATCGCGCTCCTGTACGGTCTCTTCTCCTTGACGTCCAGCCAGTGATGTGTTTACCAATTTCGGGGCAACTTCCTCAGTATAGGGTGGTTCCTAAGTTTTTTGTTTGCTAATTAAGTTGAAGGAAAATGGTATTGCAGGATGGCTTTATTTTGCATTTCTTTGATTATTAAAAGAAATTAGCATTTTCCCTGTGGTTACTCTTTGTATTTCTTGGATGTGAGTTGTCTGCTCACACTTACTGTTCTTTGCCTGTTTCAGTAAATTGGGGTTTTGATTTTTTTTTTTTTTAATCAAACCAAGTGAAATCTTTATACACAATAGCTATTAGGTTTTGTCATGTACGTTTCACATATATTCCAGCATTGTGTTTGCCTTTAAATTTTAGATATTTATTTCAGTACAAAACTTCTTAATTTTGTAATCAAATGTGTCCTTTTTGTTTGTTTTTTTTTTGTTTGTTTTTGGTTTTGTTTTCCTGTTGCTTCAAAGCTTAGAAAGCTATCTCCCCTCTGGAGAGCTGATAAATATTTAATGCTACCTTCTGTTACTTTAAATTCTCTAATTCATCTGGATTGTATTTGAGTATAAATTGAGTTGCGAATGACATTTTTTTCCCCAAATTGCTCATCAGTTATTCTAACCTCTTTCTATTCCTTTATTCTCTTTCTCAGGAATCATACACCAGATGAAAGGCGATTATGATACTGCACTGAAACTCCACAAGACCCACCTGTGCATCGCCCAGGAGCTGAGTGACTACGCTGCCCAGGGCCGTGCCTATGGGAACATGGGTAATGCCTACAGTGCTCTGGGCATGTACGACCAGGCTGTCAAGTACCACCGGCAGGAGCTGCAGATCTCCATGGAAGTGAATGACCGTGCCTCCCAGGCATCCACACACGGGAACCTGGCTGTGGCTTACCAGGCCCTGGGTGCCCATGACCGGGCCCTGCAACATTATCAGAACCACCTGAACATTGCTCGGGAGCTTCGTGACATCCAGAGCGAGGCCCGGGCCCTCAGCAACCTGGGCAACTTCCACTGCTCTCGGGGGGAGTATGTCCAGGCCGCCCCCTATTATGAACAGTACCTGCGTCTCACTCCTGACCTTCAAGACATGGAAGGAGAAGGGAAGGTCTGCCACAATCTCGGCTATGCCCATTACTGCCTTGGAAATTACCAGGAGGCGGTAAAGTACTATGAGCAGGATCTGGCGCTGGCCAAAGACCTTCACGACAAATTGAGCCAGGCGAAAGCTTACTGCAACTTGGGCCTAGCCTTCAAGGCTCTGCTGAACTTCAGCAAAGCTGAAGAGTGTCAAAAGTACCTACTGTCCCTCGCCCAGTCCCTGAATAATTCCCAGGCTAAATTTCGAGCCCTAGGGAACCTGGGTGATATATTCATCTGTAAAAAAGATATAAACGGTGCAATAAAATTCTATGAGCAGCAGCTGGGCTTAGCTCACCATGTAAAGGACAGAAGACTGGAAGCCAGTGCGTATGCAGCACTGGGCACGGCGTACCGCATGATCCAGAAATACGACAAGGCCTTGGGTTATCACACGCAGGAACTAGAGGTCTATCAGGAGCTGAGCGATTTGCCGGGGGAGTGCAGAGCTCACGGGCACCTGGCTGCTGTCTACATGGCCCTGGGGAAATACACAATGGCGTTCAAGTGTTACGAAGAGCAGCTGGATCTAGGGCAGAAGCTGAAGGACCCCAGTCTGGAAGCCCAGGTCTATGGCAACATGGGCATCACAAAGATGAACATGAATGTGATGGAAGAAGCCATCGGCTACTTCGAGCAGCAGCTGGCCATGCTGCAGCAGCTAAGTGGAAATGAGTCTGTGCTCGACAGGGGCCGGGCCTACGGCAACCTGGGAGATTGCTACGAGGCCCTGGGTGACTATGAGGAAGCTATCAAGTACTACGAGCAGTATCTGTCTGTTGCCCAGAGTCTTAATCGCATGCAAGACCAAGCCAAGGCTTACCGGGGGCTAGGAAATGGACACAGGTAAAAATGACAGGGGACGAATGTGGTCGATGACACGCACAAAGAGCATCTGTGGCAGTAATGGCAACTTAAGTCTGCATGACAGCTTGTTAACTACAAAGCATTTTCATACGTGTCTTATTTGGCTCCTCCGATAATTTTGTGAATGTAGCAGGGATGTCATTACCCTTATGGAGGAAGAAACTAAGGCCCAGAGAGGTTGGGTCAACGTCCAAGATTGCACAGCTTAGAAAGGACAACCCAGAGTCGAACCCAGGGCTGTCTGACCCAAAATGCAGTGCTTTTTTGACTGCATTCATAGTGAGCAGGATAAAAGGGATAATGGGAACAGGAAAGGTGAATGCATCCATTCAACTGACGTTTACCGAAGGCCTCTCACATTATACGAATTCGTGTTTATTAACATAACATCTATCCCCACCAATTACTAGGACTCCCACTTTATTGCTTTTAGGGAAAGTCATCTGAGGATGGCAGGAGTGAGTAAACATATGCTATCATCATCATGCCAGGCACCTTGCAGTGATATCTTGCTTAATATGTATGGCAGTCCTGTATTGCTCTACACTTACTATGATCTGCTTTGGGATGTGGGATTTACTATCATCCAGAAACGGAGGCTCGGGGAAAGGAATTCATGTGCCCCACACAACTGGCTTGGTCTGCCGCCAACATCCATGCTCTTCCCAGCCTTATCATGTCATCTCTTAGCAGCACAAAAAAGACACACTGTTGGCCAAGGTGATGCTTTCCTTCTGAATGTGGGGAACCCAAGAAGGTGTCTGTGTCTGCAGAATTTACGGCCCTTCCAGATCAGCAGGGGATTAGGGCTCCTGGAGTGGAGGAAGGGCAAGGGTCAAACTAAATCATCACCCACAGAGTGCTCTGAGGAGCTCAGGGTGAAAGATTTATAGCCATTGTAAAGTGATTTCAAAAACATAGTCTAAGCGGTAGTGGAAATTGGGAGGCCCAAAGAACCAAACAGTTCACTTGCTATCATTGTGCCTATTAATATATTTTATGTTTCCTCTGGGGTGTATATCCCATTGAATCTCAAGCTCTTGGGAAGGTCACTAAGAGATGACTTTTGAATTGCTTTCCAGATTATGAAATTCCCCTGTATCTCACTCTAAGGGCACATGATAGATTCTAGCTAGAAGAGGAGTTAAGAGCTTCTATAGTAAGTGACAGTGACAAATGCTTTTCATTTTCTCAGGGGCTTTAGCATGTCTGCACCTGCACAAAATAATATCATTGCTTTTCTGTCTACATCCCCACAGGGCAATGGGGAGCTTGCAGCAGGCCCTCGTGTGCTTTGAAAAGAGGCTCGTGGTCGCCCATGAGCTCGGGGAGGCCTTTAATAAAGCCCAGGCCTATGGAGAGCTAGGAAGTCTGCACAGCCAATTAGGGAATTACGAACAAGCCATTTCCTGTCTGGAACGCCAACTGAACATTGCTAGAGAGATGAAAGATCGAGCGCTGGAAAGTGACGCGGCCTGTGGCCTCGGTGGCGTTTACCAGCAGATGGGGGAGTATGATACAGCCCTGCAGTACCACCAGCTTGACCTGCAGATAGCAGAGGAAACCAATAACCCCACGTGCCAGGGGCGAGCCTATGGGAACCTGGGCCTGACATACGAATCCCTGGGCACCTTCGAGAGGGCTGTGGTCTATCAAGAACAGCACTTGAGCATCGCGGCACAGATGAATGACCTGGTGGCCAAGACGGTGTCATATAGCAGCCTTGGAAGGACCCATCATGCCTTGCAGAACTATTCCCAGGCAGTAATGTACTTACAGGAAGGTGAGTGAAAAGGTCTGCGGTGGCCTCTCGGTGTATTCTGAGATCGAGTTCAGAGTCTACTCGGAAGGAAGGGTACACAGTTTGAGTGACCGCCTCTGCTTGGAGTGAGGAGCTCAGAGGCCATATCATTAGTTCAACCCCAAACCGCGGTGCCCCCCCGGGTGTTCCTTAACAGCACAAAGGCGTTCCATTGCCCAGAACATGTGACCTGGGTTGTGTAACACTGGTAGCCAGCTGCCCAAGGAGCTGATGCCCTCTCTGCTCTTCAGAGCCCTTGCCCTTGAGAGCAAACAACACTTTCCCATACAAGAGGAATCGTGTAGGATTTAGTCATGTGAAATTTAAGGGCCTGAATCCTAGGAAAAGACCCATCTGTTGCAAGCCCTGTTGTCCTTCTAGAAAATCTGTAAACTGTAACAAAACTGTATAGAAGTCAATTTTGATGTGGCAGCTGACATCTAATCCAGTCTGAGGGTCACTCCAGCAGTTGGCCAGGCTTCCTTCCCAGTGTATATTGTCCACAGTGCTTGAGCTGGTGCTGTGGCAGCCTTGTGCCTGGCACAAGTGACAGAAAGTGATTGCCCCTGCCACGGCCTTCTCTTCCTCCTTCCCTTCCCCCTCCACCACTCCCAACCCCCACCCCCGCCTCTGCTGCTGTCAGGTTCCACGCAGCTACTACTCGGGAAAGCACTTCCCCTCACACGGGCACATAACATCGTTCCATCCTGGGCGGGAAAAATGGCAGATACGATGTTCTTGGCTCACTAGTCAAAGGAAATAGTTGCCGACTTGAAGTAAAAACTCTCATTTATAGTTTCTAGGGCTCTTCGCATATATAGTCTCTTTAATCGGATTTAATTCTCACATTAACCTTGGGAGGTGTGTCTTTATTCGCATTCACAGCCAAATGACCTGAGGCTCAGAGAGTCCAGTGGCTTAGTCCTGACCATACGGTCAGTCTGGGGTGTAATGGGGCCCAGCCCAAGGTTTCTAAGCCCAGGAACTACACAAGACCCTGTGCGGTGTTGTTTCTAACCTTCCAAGCCTCCTTGGGGAGGCTGGAGTAGTCAAATATTCCCCCTTACTCCTGAGCCCCAGCTGGGAAGCCAGGAGCGAGGGAAGCAGGAAGCAAAGTGGAGAATGGGCCAGGAGCTGACGGTTTGCTGTCATCCTCTGCGCAGACCAGGGATTGCTCTGGCCTGCAGGCTGAGAGGTTACCGAGAGGCTGGGAGCCACTTCCCAGACCTTCTCTGGCTCCCACTCAATGGCAGCTCTGCCTCAATGCATTAAATATGAGAGTTGGCTTTTGGTTTCCCGAAACTTGACTGTGGTAAAATTCCAACAGACTGGGGGCGATTTGCAGTTGAATTTGGGAAAACTATTAAATTCAGACCCAGCGTATGACAACCTCTCAGCTGTGTTCTTTTGTACTTCCTGAAATATTGTTTCCATAAAGCAGCTGCTTTTGCCCAAGACCTTGTAACATAATTCTATATTTATGGAAAACTCTCAATTTCATTTTTATTGTTTCTTGTAATTTTAAGTCTTGCAGAGATCTAAATTCTTATTGTGGCATCTCCCTGGTGTCTGTTCCATGGATGTGCTCCACCAGAGAGCCTGGTGTGTCCCCTGAGCCAAGTTAGATGCCTCTTCTCATGAGCTGTTACAGGTGCGGGCACCTGGGAGGCCCTTTCTGAGAGCTCTGAGTCACGTCTGCAGCATCTTGCACTGGGGGAACGGTTCAGTCAGAGACCACCTTGGCACTGTCTCCCTCTCTGGCTTTCGGAGAGGGCTGTGAGTCAGCGTCACCTTGCCCAGTGCACCAGAACCTCCCAGGTGGGGCCTGCTCTGAGATTTCTGTATAAGTGCTCCAGGTGATTTGTATAGACATCCCCGGTTAAAGCCACTGGTCTTGTCCAGCTTTCTCTCTTTTTGCAAATGAAGAAAGAAGCCTAGAGCGATTCAGTGACCTGTGCAGAGTTACATGCAGCTAGTTCCTAGCAAACCAGACTTCAGGGATGCTGGACGGGTGGGTTAGATTCCTAAGAGGCAGAGGCAGATAGGAACAGGCAGGACAGGTACTATGTCTGCCTAGTAGTGGCTTTTAGTTCTTCATTGTTGAACCTGACTTTGGGCTGGAGTGTGTCCGACATGAAGAGATCCAGTGGGGAAAAAAGTCCTTGCTCACAGAGAACTTTCTAGGGAGGCTAGCTACCTCAATGAATTTTACTTCTGACTCATAGACCCAGATCTAGCAGGGACAGTCATATTGAAGAATGAATATGGTCAGCATGTTGAAGATTAAAACAACCAGTGTTCCCCTGGTTGTCACCAAGAACCATCTTCTTCCATCTGTGTTCCTATTCTAGGAAGTATTTTAAAATGTGAATAATTTCCAAGTATTATTTTTGTTACCCAGTGACATGATTTAAACGTAATGTGGTGCTTCTAAGTTTTCTGAGTTATGTGCATTTTGAAATGCATACATTTTATGAGCGGGAACCTGAATATCACTTCTATTATCATCTCAACTGACTCCATTCTTTTTCAAAAGTCAGAAATTGCATGGGCCCAGCATGCTCAGAGGCAGGCTCCCATGCACTCTAAATTAGATTCAAAAAAGGAAGTCCTTCCTTTGTGTGTATAGCTGTAGTGTGGGAGCCTTCATGGTGTCTTCTGCACAAGGGAACTCCTGCGTACAGAGGGCCAAATCATGAGGACAAAGCCATCCTGAGAACCACTTAGTGGCCAGTACAATAAATGGTTGCCCTCAGATTTGGCTCCCACAAAGCCCTGGAGGTGGCTGGTGTCCTGGAAGCCAGAAGCTTGCTGTAGGTAAGTGACCCAAACTGCAGGTGTCCCTCTGAAGGCCATTAGAATGAGGACAGTCTCATTTAAGGCTTTCAACTCATAATAGCACTTGTTCTACAACCCTGCTGGGGCACATCAAAGTCTCAGCCTTAAAGGAAAAACAGATTGGACATGAAATGCATCAGCGGCATCAGTAACAGAAGGCAGGGTCAGACTGTGTGAGCATTCTGCTTTGGGGAGAACATCAGATGTGTCTCCCATAAACACTGACTGGATGCTATGTACGTGAGATAGGAAGAAGTATTAGCTTGGCTTCTGCACTTGACTATGGAACTGTCAGGAAAAAGCCTTTGCCTGCCAAAGAATTAAGTTAGATAAATTTATAGGCCAGGAGTTTTCATTTGCAAAGCTGGGGATTTCACATCTGGGAGGGGGCCAGGTTAGGTTCATTCATTTCACTGTTTCTGCCTGCCCTGCAAACCTGTTTCCTGCTGAGACCCATCACCTCAGCTCTTGCCGGGGCATCTTGGAGTGTCCTGGAAAGGTCGCTACCAACACAGAATCTGAAGAGAATGCTTACTCTGCCTTGGCTGATTGTACTTTTGTCCTGCAATTTATTTAGCTGTGTTGTTAGCATTCTTTGTATCTACCTGAGGCAGAATGCCCTGCCAGGACTCCTGGGCAGGGTGGAATTGTCTTTTATGTGTCCTTAAAATTTCTCTGATTTCAGGTTTAAGGTTAGCTGAGCAACTGGGCCGAAGAGAAGATGAAGCCAAAATTCGCCACGGTCTTGGTCTGTCCCTTTGGGCTAGTGGGAATCTGGAGGAAGCCCAACACCAGGTGAGCGGAGGAACACCTGTCCCAGGTGGATTTTGTTTCCAGAAGCACGGAAGACCTTGGGATTACTGTCCTGGTAGTGATGACATTTGCTGGAAGGTGCTATAACCTCTACCCTTTGGGTCAATGTATAGGATCTCCGGCCCAGAAGTGTTGAACCACAGTGAAGATTCTTACTCACTTGTATGATAGATTTCTCAATGATTTCTTTGGAATTCCTATATTATGTGCTACTGTTCCTCATTAAACCGTAATATGAAATTACATGCATTTTATGACAGAAGTAATTCAGGAATTTGTGCCTTGGCATCCTAGAATGTTATGGTATTTTACTTTACTTTTTAAACTATTTTTTTAATTTTTTTATGTTTATTTATTTATGACAGAGAGAGACAGAGCATGAGCGGGGGAGGGGCAGAGAGAGAGGGAGACACAGAATCCGAAGCAGGCTCCAGGCTCCGAGCTATCAGCACAGATAGCTTGATGTGGGGCTTGAACTCACAGACCGTGAGATCATGACCTGAGCCGAAGTAGGACGCTCAACCGACTGAGCCACCCAGGCACCCCTTTACTTTTTAAACTATTAAAGGCAGTTTAAAGAATTAATTATTTCCTTGTTTTAGAAATTAAAACTTATACTGCTATAACGATTTTCAATTTTTCAAGTACAGTCACTCACTGAATTTATTCTTCACATAACCCTGTGAGGTAAAATGACGACCATCCCGTTTATAGAAAAGAATCTGAGGCTCCAGATCTTGCCCAAAGTCACATAATTAATTAGTGGTAGAGTTGGGGATACTAAGTCTAAGTCTCTTAGTCTTGGAATTCTTTCCATTAAAAAAATTTTTTTTAATGTTTATTTTTTAGAAGGGGGGGAACCACGAGTGAGGGAGGGGCAAAGAGAGTGGGGGAGACACAGAATCCAAAGCAGGCTCAAGGCTCTGAGCTCCCAGCACAGAGCCTGACGTAGGGCTCGAACTCTAGCCGCGAGATCATGACCTGAGCCAAATTCTTTCCATTTTTTAAATTTGCATGAACTTAAAATTCTATGCTGTTTCCAGCATATAAATATTAGAGAAAAGTCTTGGGGCACCTGGGTGGCTCAGTCAGTTGAGTGTCCGACTTTGGCTCAGGTCATGATCTCGCAGTTAATGAGTTCCAGTCCTGCATCAGGCTCTGTGCTGACATCTCAGAGCCTGGAGCCTGCTTTGATTCTACCAATGAAACTCTCTCTCTTGCTCTCTCCCTGCTTGTTCTCTCTCTCTCTCTCTAAAAGAAATAAACATTAAAAAGAGAGAAAAGTCTTGTAGTCTCATTGGTGGAGAAACCACTTAAAGCAGCAGGACAGTGTCTTTTTTTTTTTTTAAGTTTTTTATTTACTGAGAGAGACAGAGTGAACGAGCACGTGCATGCAGAGGGGCAGAGAGAAAGAGGGAGACACAGAATCCCAGGCAGGCTCCATGCCGACAGTACAGAGCCTGATGTGGGGCTTGCTTTCATGAACCATGAGATTGTGACCTGAGCAGAAATCAAGAGCCAGCTGCTTAACCGACTGAACCTCCCAGGCGTCCCAGCAGGATTGGTGTCTTTTTAGGAACGTCAAGCATCTGGTCCTGCGGGTGTCCCTGTGATCGGGTGTGGCTCCGGAGGAAGCCAGGGAAGACCTGACCCTGGTCACTGTTGTGGAGGGTGGTGTTTGATTTGGCTGAACTGCCAGCAAAAAGCTGCCCTCCTCCTGAAAGTGTGGCTGCCTTAGCTCATTTCCCCCAGCCTCGGCCATTTCCAGCCTGCCTGCTCCCCACTTGTTCTCATTCCAGTCCTTGGGCTCCCTGAGGCCTTGGTGGTAAATTACAGCCGCTTGATGACAAGGGGAGAGGCCTTTTGTTTGTTTTAATCCAAATCAGCACTTGACTAGATTCATAGCTGGGTTTTTTCCTCCCCCCAACTTTCACACTGTAAGTCCATAACCTTTGTTTTTTAGATCCCCTATTCTAATTGAGCACATAAACTATAATTTATGTGGTGTGATCTGATTGATGCCTTTTCAGGTTCACGAGGACCTAACTGGAAATAAAGATTCATCCTTTGAAACCTTCTAAAAAATCGTTTTTACGTTGTGCACCAAGTCGTGTGCAGAAGTTGTCTCTGGTCAGTGGACAGCTGGACGGTGGTTTCCAGGGAGTGAATAACGTTCTCTGTGTCCTGCTTGCAGCTCTACAGGGCATCGGCCTTGTTTGAAACAATCCGACATGAGGCGCAGCTGAGCACGGACTACAAACTGTCCCTCTTTGACCTGCAGACTTCCTCCTACCAGGCCTTGCAGCGGGTGCTTGTCAGCCTTGGTGAGAGCGGCTGGGGTTCCCGCTTCGTGCATGTGCACCTGTGTGTCTGAGTCGTTCGGCGATGGCTGTGACCAAATACGATCTGTTGTTACGACAGTGAAGCCACAACTGCAACCCAGTCATTGAACCTTTGTTGGTTTCATTCAACAAATATCTGTTGGGCGCCTACTATGTGTGGGCTGTATGCCAGCCCTGGGGGCCTGGTTCCTGACTGAAGAAGCAGTTAGCCCGTTGAAAGGCAGAAGTCAGTGAGTCCGTATGGTGTGACTAGAGCGAGGGTAAAAGAAACTCGGGTGCTGTGAGAACAAAGCGTTTTGGCGGACAGACCCAGGAGCTAGAGAAAGTGTCCTGGGGATAGAGATGCTTGAGCCAGGCGTTACCCCCTCAGGTTCCCTCTCACTGTTAATAGCTGGGGGGAGTACCCGAGGAGATGCCTGGCCTCTTCCCTGTCTCCTCTGCCACACAGCTTTTACTTTGCTGTCAAGTGAATGTCTTTACCGTCTCGGTCTGCCCTCCGGGCTGGGGCGTGGTCAGGGGTAATTCTCCCGGGCCTGGGCGCTGCATCGCACTGGGGCAGCATGTATCTCCCTCACCGGCGCCTGAACAGTCGCCTCTTCCCGCTCCCCTGCCCTCTGCCTCTTCTCAGGCCTGTCCGGCTCTGCAGACCGTCTCCCCAAACCCAGAACTCGGGTGGAGGAGGTATTCGGCAGAACTGACAAGGTCTTGGAGGTTGGATGTCGAGGCCTCGTCAGTAACCTGGCCTCTGCTGCGTGTCTGTGAATGCTCAGAACTTCCCCTTGAAAAACTTATCTATTAAATGTGCTCATTGCCTGGGATTACAATTTATTATCTATTATAATCACAGTGTTAAGTCTGCCTAACACTTTGGGGCCGATTTTCCAATGTGCACAGAAATCATCCCTGCTGTTCCAGTTAATAACTTAATAGGGTAAAAGAACACATTTGCATACACACATATAAATCCCCCCTTTCTACTGATGCTGGAACTGCAGGAAGCTAGGCATCCTTGACGTGTCTGGGAGTGGCAGCATCTGGTCTCCTGCCTCTGCCTGCTCTCGCTTTGGACCCTCATTCCGACAAATCTTCTATATCTCTGTTTATGATGCAAGCAAAGCTTCTGCATTATTTTCCTTCTAAACACTCTAAACAGTCCTTGCTTGAAAGCATGTTGCTTTCTATTTTTTTTGTGCCCTCATGTTTGTGCATTAACTTCTAAAGTAGATAACAGACTAGTGTCTTAGGGAAAGCGAGCTCAGAAATTGGACTGAAAGACTAAGAAGAAGCTCTGAAAGAGAGAAGCAGTTTCAAAGAACTAAAGGCTTCAGAGGTTTAAACCCTTTCCCCCTGGGGACAACAAAAGCAGAGAAGAAGCAGCAAGTGTGTGGGAGCCTGGAATGGAATGAAGGATCAGCTCTCACCATAATAATATCACCTTTCTCTATGTGGTACTTTGAATAAGCTATCCAGGCATCCTCACACACAGCACCACAGTTAATCTTTACAGTAGCCCTTCGAAATAGGCAGGGTGACTGTTAGGACCCTCCTTTTGAGACCAGGTCAATGAACGGGGAAAGGACACACTGAGCAGAGGGCCTGGCTTGTGTAAAGGCAGAGAGGTATAACTTGGGAGTGGGGGGCTGGTGTGCAAGTGGGGCTGGACAATGCGATGCATAGAGGGGCCACAGCTAAGGGAGATAGAAAGATGGTCAGGACTTTGCACATCTTGGAGGGTTTGTCTGCCAAGGCCAAATCAGAATCGAAGTTGAGCAGCAAAGTGAGAGGGGTAACTGAGTGCAAAGCATTAGGTCCAAATAGCTAAAGTGAAGGGGGTCAGATGCCAGGAGGCCAGGGAGCAGCTCAGGCTGTGGGTTGGAGAACGAGCGGGGCTGAGGACCATCCTCTGAACAAAGTTGACTCTCTTGGGGTGTGGCTGCGGATGGGGGGAAAGTGGCTTAGGGTGGTGTGGAATCTGAAACTGTGGGGTTTTATTTTTTTCTTCTTAATGTTTATTTATTTTTGAGAGAGAGAGAGCACGCATAAGCAGGGGAGAGGCAGAGAAAGAGGGGGACAGGGGATATGAAATGGGCTTGGGGTGTCAGTAGAGAGCCCGATGCAGGGCTTGAACTCATGAACCAGGAGATCATGACCTGAGCCGAAGTCAGACGCTCAACAGACTGAGCCACCCAGGTGCCCCTGAAACTGGGGTTTTAGAAGAGTAGGCACTGTACTTAGCATCTGAGGCAGGGGGTTGGGTTTGAAACTGAGACTGGGCCCCACATAGGGATGCAGAGACAGTAAGGTTTCTGCCCAGGGCCTCTGTGGCCGATGGCCCTCGGTGGACAAACACACTCCCCAGGGATTCCTCACCTTATGACTTTTGTGTCCTAGGCCATCATGATGAAGCCCTGGCTGTGGCAGAAAGAGGACGGACGAGGGCATTTGCCGATCTTCTGGTAGAACGACAGACAGGACAGCAGGACTCCGACCCATACTCCCCAGTCACCATTGATCAGATCTTAGAGATGGTTAATGGCCAGAGGGCACTAGTGCTTTACTATTCCCTAGCCGCTGGCTACCTGTATAGCTGGCTGCTTGCTCCTGGGGCAGGTAAGATCTCTTTCTGTGGGAACCGGCAATTAAGACGCTAGACTGCGAAAGTCTAAGGAATAGAGGTGGAAGAGGTGCATTACCATAGATCAGACTAAGGAGCTGACGTCGGCTTTCAGCAAAACCTCAGCCACGGCGGATATTCCATGGCGGGGTGGTCAATTAATAAGACAGCCCAGCTTTCCCATTCCCCCAAGAAATCGCTGCTCCTCGCTGGTGAATGTGGAAGCATTTATCAAGGAACACGAAGAGCAGGAGGAGTAATTTCACCAGCAGCCCTATTTTTAGGCAGCTGTTGTTCATTAGCTAATAAAGCGCTGACTGTAAGTCCTAACGAGTTCTTTCTAGATATGATTTAATAATTGTGACCCTTTGTCATGGTAAACAGACTAAAATGAGAATGGCAACTCTTGTCACAGTATATAAATGAAGTCTTATGCTTGGAATTTCTGAGTTTAGCAGAACCCATTTTAACCAGTTCTGTTGTAAATCTATTTTAGAAGTAAAAACCCCCTTTGATTAAATCGGCATTAAATGTTCAGGCTGAAACAGTTTCACTAAATACAGAACCACTAATTAGCTGTTAGGGCCATATTTTTTGCATAATAAAATGCTGATGGCTTTACCACGTTGGAGACACCAGATCCAATTAGAGTTTATTGACTGGGGAAGTGGATCTTATAATTGGGAACCTTGAAGAATGGGCTTCTTGACTATCTGTAAGCCAGTTTCAAAAAGTTCAACTGCCAGAGAGAATTGACAAGATTTTCTTGATTGTGTTTCTATCCCTTTGATTAAAAAAAAAAAAAAAAAAACAGATACGATGGCTAAATGACAACTCTCAGATGCCTCTTGGCTTCTGAGCACTCCTGCCCATACATTCTGTGCCTCAGCCTTATTTTTTATAATCTTTTCCCCTTAATCCCATGTTTTTTTATGGGCTTTCCATAAAGAACATTGTGACCTTTCTATGCTGAAGGTTTTAGTTGTGATGTTCATGGTGACTTGGTGAGTGTCAGCTACAATGGAATGGATCCCTGTGTATCCCAGCCCCCCCAGAAGGACACCGATACCTCGGAAGACACGGCTGGTGATGGAGGCATCAAGCTCTTTCTCTCTGTCATTGTTATGTTTTGGGGACATGATTTGACAGGTGGTATATCCAAATCTCTGTAATAATGAGCCATGTATAATGAGGCTTCTATTGTTTCTCTTTCCCTTCCTCTTTGCTCTTAATGAGACTCTGAAGCTTTCACTGGGGCTCTAATCCAATCAGAGAGGACCAGCATTTTCCGGGGCTGACACACCTCATTACCATTTGAGAATATGTCCTGTGTTTATTGCCAGAAAACCACTATGGATTGCTTCAGTTTCATGCAGCCATAATTTTTTGCTCCTTTAATCCATTAATGATGGTTGACCAGTTAGTCTTATTTAAAAATGGCTGAAAACATTTTTTATCTGGCCTTTGTACTACACATTTATTTTGCCTTGCTTTTGTGAAATGAAAGGTCTTTGAGTAACACAGTTTCCACTTGGCTAGTTGTATTTGTGTTCAGGATTTCAGCTTCTGGGGAGAATATACCTTGGCATGTTCGTGCACTATTCGAGAAAGAAAACCTTCCCTATTTGGTGCTTCTGAGAAGCCGCTATTTCAAAATACATATGAAGTCACCATTCCATGAACTTCTGAGTATATCTACAAAAGCAGAAGCCTTATGTTGAATTCCCTGGTTTCAAGCACCAAATTTGATGGCGGAAACTGTAGAAAGGGGTACTGACCAAATTTGGGAAAGCCCTCTCGTGACCTCGGATTTCAGGATTTCTTCACATTTCTTTGTGAAGGATTTCTTTCTTGATTGCTTTGGATGGCATACTTGCCAGAGAAGGCTGTGCCCCACCCTCCACCTCTCCCTCCTGAGACCCCAATCTTGCATAATGTTGGCTGTGCCTGTCTTGTTTCAGGAATTCTGAAGTTTCACGAACACTACCTGGGTGATAACACAGCGGAAAACTCGGGCGACTTCCAGACTGCCAGTAGTGCGGCCCTTCCAACAGCCACGAGCTCGGCCCTGGAGCAGCACATCGCCAGTGTGCGGGAGGCCCTGGGGGTGGAGTCTTACTACTCAAGGCAAGTGGTACAGCGTCCCTAGCCCCTTCTTCAGATACAATCCTAGCGTCGTTGGTTTTTTTCTTTCTTTCTTTTGTAAACAGCCTGTTCCAGCTAAATGGAAGAAATCTTTTGGAATTTGCACTTTTGTGCTTAGTCTATTCACAGTTGCTGCAGGAGAAACAAATATGTGTCTCTGGAGTGCAAACCCCTTTGTGGGCTGTCTTTATTCTTTCTGGTAATTTCCTTTCAGACAGGGAAAGGCCTCATCGGAGATGCCCATTTTCTAAGGAGGGTTTGTAGAATGTGTAAACATACACAGGACTTCGAATTTAACATCCCAGCTAATTAAAACTGAGATGATTTGGGGGTTATAAACCGATTAATAATGAGTTTGTTTGTTGTAGCTGAACGCCTGTCTGGGAAAGTAATTTGACACTAGTGACAGGATCTGTGCACAAATCTGTGTGCTGTGGGGATGAGGTGAAGGAAGTTGAACTCCTAGTATGGAGAACAGAGAAGGGAAGTGCTTTTTGCAGAGATTATAAAAGCTGTATGCTTATGGAAACATTTTATCATGATTGACTATTTTACATATGGAAAATCACTTCTACAAGCACCCTGCTTCTGGGGAAAATCAAAAGAAGGGGGTACCATAGAGCTGGGTGGTAGCAGAATTTCCTGGCGTCCCAGTCTATCCTGTGCTTAACAAGTGTCGAGAAGGTCCATATGTCAGAGAATCTGCTGTGTTAGCTGGTGTCAGGTCCCCAGGACATCTGCTTGTCTCTTGAGTGATTTCAGTTGCAAAACCATGGAAATCCTAAGATATCCCCATAATTCTTTAGAGACGCTTATCCCAGACTCCCCGAGTGTGTGTTGGTCAATGCCAGCAGCTGGATTGATCTTTGAGATATTTATGAAGTTGGAGACGAGTTCTTAGATGCACTTGGATAATGTCATGTCAAGTGTGGAAGGTGCTGGAGGGTCTTCTAGCTGAACTCCTTTATTTAACAGAAGCCAGCATGGAATAAGACTGCTGACAGCCAAGTTAGTGTCAAAGCCAGGATCGCAACAACAGAGATCTCACCCAGACTCCCAGGCCACTGCTTGTTCTGTTTTTAATTATCAAAATTAATATCATATTTTGAGAAAATAGCCGAAGCATGTAAGAATGTCATCTCCAGCTTCTGTGTGCATAAAGTATGAACAGGCTTCAGCCACATGCACACAGTGTTGTCTTATTTCTTCTAAGGCTGTGGTGCATCCTGGGGCATCCCCTTCCTTAACCCTGGGTAGTAGTGTGGTGATTACAGGGGCTTGACAGTGTGGTAATCCCAAGAACTTGGAAGTAAGGCTGTTCTCTGAAATTTAATGATACATGACCATAAAATAGGTTAATCTAGGGCTGTGCAAAGCTGCTTCAGCAGACAGAAAGGCACATCAGCCAGTCTGATTCCACTGTAACCTGACCTAAGGTATTGCATATCCCAAGCGAGTGTTAAAGAGGATGGTTGGCCAGTGGTGGAAACACAAAATGAGGGAGAGAAAGGAGAGCAGATTTCGGCAGTGCCCATTTCTTTCGCTGTCAAAGAGAGAATCGTGGCTAAGGGACTTGAAGTTCCATTGGAAGTCTGTTCCCATAGTAGACCTGCAGTCTTTATGCTCTCTTATCCTCCTGCCACCTCCCACCCCCTTCCACAACTATTGGAATACCTGCTTTGTACCATGTGGCACCATCGTGGCCACACCTGGGTCAGCTGAGTCCAAACCAACCATGATGGGGCTGAGCCTGTGTGAAAATATAGATTTTACTTGATCCCAGTCTAGATTAATATTCATCATAAGGAGGAAGGGGACTACCCTTGGACTCTTCCCAATGCCTACTCCCACCTCCCATTGGGTACCGTGTTTAACTCCAAACACTTGTGTCCAAGCTGTTCTTTTATATGATACTAGAGGTTGAGTAATTTTGCTTCCAGGTGACTTTTGAATTGAAAAAAATGGCTTTTGGGTTATAGTTCAGTTCTTCATCAATGGGAGAGTGGAGGGACCGTAACTGGCTTATATTCCCCATGTTAATCTTTTCCTCTGCTGTATACAGACAAGTTAGGATGAGTCTTTGGGGATCTCTAGGTCAGGTGGCTTGATGCTTAGCATGACTTTGTTGGGCTGTCCTTGGTAGCTTCGATACCCAGTTTAGACTGCCAGAAGTAAGGTCTTTTCTGCTGCTTTGGACTAGTCTTACTAGAAATGTGTTCATATTTTGTGAGCTCAAACTCAAAACTGAACAGTTTAGTAGCATGATTTGAATTTACTAGAATGGAGTTTTGTGAGACTCTGGTTTCTGCCTCACAGTTTCATGAAAACAGTATGAAAATTTCAATGACAAATTATCTTTCATCTATTGAATTGTTAAATATTTTTAAAGTAGTAATGCTTAGTAGTAATAAAGATGCAGTGAATGAGCAGTCTCTACAGTAGGGATATAAAGTGTTCTAGCCTTTCTAAAAATAATTTGCCAGTAGTATCAAAAATCTTTAAAATGTTAATGCTGTGACCCCATAATTCTCACTTTGGAAATGGAGTAAAGAAGTGTACATAGGACTATTTGTAATAGGTCTATATATTATAGAAAATTTTAAAAACCTGAATGTCCACAATAGTTGAAGGTCAAATTATTTTACATACATTAATATAATATTACACTGTAATTAAATTATGTTCACAGAGAATTTTTAATGACATAGCCAAATGTTTGTGACAAAATATTGTATGAAAAAATAGGATATAGATTTATTATATATAATATAACTTAAATTTTGTAATATATGTAAAATATGGGTATGAAAAGTAAGAAAAAAATCCTTGGAGGGAAACAGACTATAGTGTTAGTGGTAATTATAGGTGGATGGTAGAATTACAGATGCTTAGTATTTTATTCTTTATACTTTTCCTTATTTTCAGTTTTTTCACAATGGGCATATATTAACTTTTTATATTAGGAATAAATAGCCACGAATAAGCAATTCTTTCACTCAAAGAGGGGGAAAAGGGAAACCTTTCTGTAATAGGTTTACAGAGAATAAAATCCAAGTTTTGAAGCCTGGCACCATGATCTAGCTCTAGGAAGGCATTCTGGGTTTATTTTCCATCTTGTCTCTTGGTGAACACCATGTTCCAGCCACGATACCTTTTTCTCTGTCCTCTGAATGTACCCTGTGCCTTCTCCCCCTTCACTCTAACTCAGGCATCTTTAACCACTGAATCTGTAAGTGCAGCTGCTCACTAAACATCCCTGCATGGGTATCTTCTGGGTATCTCTCCTCTAAAATATCCAAATCCCAACTCTTGAGTTTCTCCATTTCTCTCCTAACTCAGTCATTGTAATACATACCACATCAACAGAATTAAGAACAAAAACCACATGACCATCTCAACAGTTGCAGAAAAGACATTTGACACAATTTAACGTCTTTCCATAATGGG